GTCTTTCTTTTTATCAAAACAAAAAGTTTTCCACTGTAAAGGGTAAAAACAAATGACTATGAATAACTTTTTTTAGTAAATGATAAGTTCTAAACAGTTACAACATTTTAGTTAAATATATATTGAAAAGTTCTGTAAAATTTAGATCGGAGACAACATTTATTTCCAGATTTTAAGTTTCTCTGTTTATTCTAGAATGGGAAAGTGCAACTCTCCTTACCTTACTTTCACAGAAAACAGCGCCTTCTTCTCATCCCTGTAGCTGCACCTTTAGTCTATTCCTTCCTTTGCCTTGTTCTTAAATACTGTCCTATACCAGGTCAACCAATTCACTTGCAAACACCCATCATCCACCCTAAATCAGATGTGCAGATCAACAATGAAACCCTTTTACTATGAACAACTATCTTTCTCCAAGAGAGTTTTTCTGCTCTATTAATTTCTGCAGTTTCCTTCTCCATCTTTTGTGTGTGTGTATGCGTGTGTGTGGACTGACCCACATTATAATAGGTCAGCATACCACAGTGAGACTCTTTTTTTGGAATGAGACAGGAAACGAGAGGAAAGGGAGGAGGCTGTTTCCAGCATACCACTCTTCCTTTGAAAAATAGGATCAAACACTGCAGTTCTAGGATGGGTCACCTTCCCAGAATTGGTACCAGAATTAGTCTATACACAGTGTGTGTCTCATACCCATGATCTCACTGCTGCTTGCCATGCAGCTCTTCAGGGAAAGGGAGGCACATATCGCCCTGAAGTAGCATTTCTTGAACGCTAACGTTTTGAAAAGACAGAGGTGAGAGCTGAGTTTAAAAGGGATTTATTTGAAATAGCAATAGAAAGTTGCAAGTGAAAAATTATTTTCATACTAGGAAAGTAGATAAAGCTTCACTTGTATCCTATTCATTCAGAGTATTGCCCATTTTGTTTCTGAGACAACCCACCAGAAAGCCATTTAATGCATCTGTGGCTAAGCTGAGATTTGAACCAGTGTAGCTTTCAACTACATAGGTGCACAGGGATTGCTCTGTTAGCTGTGGCAGCAAACACGGAACCCTTTAACATATTAATGGGAGGTGGGGAATCACACATCAATGATACGCCATTCAATCACATTTTTAGTTATGAACATGCATTTCAGTGTTTAACTGGAGCACAGAGACAGGAGTGTGGCTCTCTAGTTCTCCAATGGGTAGAGATACATTAATTCTGTCCTACCTCTCTGCAAAGATACACCCCCCTCCAAAAGTACTTGCAACTGAAAGAGCAATATATATTTTTTAAGTCCTTCTTCTGTTGTCAAGCTTTGGGACCCTTTGGGACCAGTATCTATCCTTTCTATTATGCATATGTAGATTGTCTAGTATTAATAGTATGCAAAACAACAACAATCTGAATAGTGCTTGTGTCACTAGGCTATAGGTATATGAGGTCTTATGTATGTGTGCTTCTGAGGTGCATAGTTTGAGAATGAACGATCCAATGATCTTTAAGTTTCTACAACTTCAATATATAAGTAAATATTTCACAAGTAAAAACCTTACAATAAATATTTAATATAAAGTTACCACACACAAAAAGGCTACACAAGATAAGGGAGTTGATCCCATTGGTCGGTCAGAGATAAATCATGTCCGTAATAAAACATTAAATGTCTGTCTCAAAGGGATCACACAATGGCTTACATTGTCTTCTAAAAGCCTATAGGTTTATGCTCTAGTGTGGATGGGTGGTAACAACATTAGTCCTAGTTTGACCAATGAGCACTGTTCATAGATAAGGCAGATGCAGCAAAAACTGGAGAAGCCATGGAAACAACTCACTTGCAAGAGAGAGAACATATGGAACTGCTGCATGATACAGCAGCTTAGGGCATTCCACATACACCTTATGGTGCAAAAGCATAAGCCATTTCCGCATCCCATGTGCAGTAGCTTTCACTAATATGACAACCATTCCTGAACAGTTTGCTATACTGTACCACAAGGCTAAAGGGGTGCTCATTCCAATTACAGTTGTTACATTTTAAAGAGCGTACTGTGCAGCAGGTGAAATGTGTTTGCTAATTCTCCCCTCCCCTCTTTGCTTCCTGTAAATTGCATCCCTCTGGGGTTGTTAAAATGATCACCACGCTGCATTACAGACTCAAGTGTTCATGTGCTACTCCCTGGACACAAGGTGATCTGTGCCTTCCCAGCCACGGTTTGCACTGAAAAACAAAGCCAACACTCTATGAACACACTGCAGTGAACGCTCATGCAAAAAAAAAAAATTAGTAAATGGAGGAGAGGAGCACATCCTCTGAGTTGAGCCAGATCACAAGTACTAGCAGTCAAGAATCACACATTAAAACAGACTACTCTTGACAAAGTGACTTCCTGTCGCTGGAAGGATCCCTCTCCCTCCCCAATTTGTAACTCATACTGGAAATGCTTTCCTAGATATTATTTTCAATATCATATTTTAAGAGCTATTGTAGCTAAAAGCTTTATGTATTCCATTTTACTACCGCGACTGCTTATAGATCAGTTTCTTTAAAGACACCCAAGGGGGTTTGGCAGGATTAATTATCTTGGCAGGAATCTACTCTTCTATTACGAAGCTACAGCTCAAGGAGTGCTGAAAAGATGATGTGGTCCTATAGCAACAGAGGAGGAAAAACAACATATGTAGGCATGGGTGGGTCAGGGAAAATCAAGCCCCTGCCTTCACATCTTAGGCTCTATATAATGTCATTATTGTCCTTCAAACCTTTTCCTCAACATCCTATGTGATAGTAGGCAGCAATTTCAAGGAGTTACTGCAACTGACAATTAAGGTTTGCTCCTAGGATTTAGGTATCAGACGATTTATAACTAAATAATACATAGCAATTCACTCCTTTGAATGGATTAATTTCCATTCTATTTCATTCTCACTGAGAAATTACTCTTCAAATAACTGAAGATGCTGAACTACATTAAGCATGAAAATGTCACACACTGCATGTAAAAATTATAGAATATAAGTTTAGTATACTTCACCTATTCAGTCTACAGGGAGGCTACAAATATTACAGTCTTCCTTCGTGTGTTTTGTATACTAGAGAACTCCACAGTAACGATGCCATGTTTTTAATACTACAGAACTACAAAACACCCCATAGCATTTCAAGATGGAACTGCCAACCCCATCATTTGAAGATACAAAATAATTATTTCTGTCCTCTCATAAAAAAACAAGCTATGAACCTTGTGCAAAATACATACTGTACTACCAATTCACACAACTTTTAGAATTTGGTCACAATTACACATGGAATCATTATCTATAAATGGTGCATACTTTATTTAAGGAGGCAGATTCTTACACATAGCAAAGAAGGAATCCTTTCCTGGATGCCAAGAATTACAGGAAAATATAGTCATGCATATGTGTTTGTACAATTCACAACTGATAAGACCAGATGTATGTTTAGGCAAAGTAGCAAATTTCAAAAGTGAAGTGTTACCTGGCTCTTGGAGTTAATTTCTCATTGGAAAAAATAATGCATATCAGTCTTTTAGAGTGTGATGTAAATTACAATTAAACACAGATGACTGTTTGAAATTGCCTCCTACTACTATCTGCACATAAATTTCAGTAATAAGAAATGCTGAAAGACAAGCAAAAAGGAAAGTGATTTAATAGTGAACACAAGTTGATGGAACATAAGGTGAAATTTATCTAATAAGTATCTAATAATTTGTATTATACAAAGACGTCCAACCACACAAATAGCTTAGGGCCTCAAACCTGCTTTGTAAACTCATAAAACCTTTGGCCAATCTCATCTAGTTTTAATGCTTATAGTAAATGCTGGATTTTAACTGATATTCTACTCAGGAGGCACACTTTAGCACTACACTCCTCCTCCTAAAGCTACTAAGCTCACACCATATTACAGCACTGTACCTAGTGCCACATTCAGTGTCAAAGCACCATAAGGTCCACATCATGCCACTCAAGATGACCTGCACCACACGCAAACTAAGCACAAACTATGCTATGTGTTTCTGCTATTCAGCTATTAATCTGTGTTCCCTATAGTTCTTCCCATTTTCAGTGCCAGATGTGGCAGGATGAGTTGGGTTTCTACAGCACACTTGCCACGTTCAACATCTTAGCAGCATCACTAGGACACTGACCGGCATCAAACGTGCCACATCTCCCACAACTTACCCATTTCTGCACAATGCTCAAAGCCCACATTCATCTTCACCCAAAAAGGCCGTGTTATTTAAGCACCCTGTGGCACGACGGCGGCACCTAGGACTACCGCTATGTTATGCGCTCAAGTCACCTTGCCTACGTCCAAGTAGAAAAAAGATGATCCGTAAACTTATGTACAGTGGTATCTCGGGTTACATATGCTTCAGGTTACATATGCTTCAGGTTACAGACTCCGCTAACCCAGAAATAGTACCTCGGGTTAAGAACTTTGTTTCAGGATGAGAACAGAAATCATGCTCCGGCAGCACAGCAGCAGCAGGAGGCCCGATTAGCTAAAGTGGTCTTCAGGTTAAGAACAGTTTCAGGATAAGAACAGACCTCCAGAACGAATTAAGTACTTAACCCAAGGTACCACTGTAAATTACAGAAACAAAACACCCCCACCATCACACTCTGCACCCCACCCACTGGCTAAGGCCCAAGGACCTGATGTCATATATGGTGGCAGAAAGGACGGCGTGGCAGATGCCACCCCTTGGAAGCCACATCCCAGGGGGCCACCATCTCTAGGCCATGCCACCAGGACCCAAAAGACGCTGTGCGCAGCTTTTGAAGACGCTGAGGTGCCACCTGGCCTGCGGGAAAGGGCGAAGGGCCGTTCCCCTTTCCACACCACACGCCTTCACGCCCCTTTCTCTCTTCGAGGGCCACCCCTGCCAGGCGCCACCCCAAGTGCCCAGTGGCTCCCTTCGCCGCGCCACTTGTGCCCTGAGGCGCCGTTCCCGCCAGCAGCCGCCCTCTCCTCTCACCGACTGGCGCTGGCGGGGTTGTCGTGCTCCCGGCTCCGTTTCTTCCTCCTCCTCCTCCGGCGGCAGGGGCAGTTCCGTCACTCGGGGGACCGGGCAGGACGAGAGGCCCTCAGGAGCACCATGGCCAGGCCGGGGGTTCCGTGGCCGCGCAGCCGCTCCGTCGCGAACACCTGGCGTGGCGGGGCCGCTTCTCAGCCCCGGACTCGGGCTTATTGCTGCTGCTGCTGCGGCCCCAAACAGAGGGAGGCGGGGGGGGCAGAGAGCAGCTGAAGGGAGAGACTGGGCAGGCGAACAGTTCCGCGCAGGCGCGAAGCTCGCGGGCTAGCTGGCTGCCCGTCTCTCTCTCCAGCGCGCGCTCCTGCCAGAGAGGGAGGAGGAGGAGGAGCCGCGAGGCGGTGACGTAACCAGTGGCCTCAGGGACAGTGACGTCCCCCTCCACAGATAGATTCTAAGCTCCGCCCAAACAGCAGCGACGGCGGTCGCTTTAAAGAGACAGAGTCGCTTTTCTTTCCTTCCGCCGTTCCAGCGCCGCACTTTGCTTCCAGCTCCGGACTTTCGGGTTCTGACCATTTGCCCAATAGCAGCTGGTCTTTTTCTAGATCAGGGGCCCTCCCTGATGATGCTGGCAAGTACCATCAGCTCCGGGGGGGGGGGTAAGCTGGCATCGACAAGCATTACACGTGTGCGTGTGAATGGGCGGAATGATTTGGATTTAGGAATTCTGAGCCATAGGCAGTTAATTGGGTGACTTGTAGCCCGCCAGGTGTTGCTGGACTACAACTCCCATCATCCCTTCATTGGCCATTGGCTGCCGGGAGTCGAAGAGCATCTGGAAGGCCAAAAGTTCCCCATCTCGGCTCCGTGGTCAAATTTTTCTTTCTCATGAAGACGAAGATTATGCATGGGCAAATTTGTTTGGAACGTATTTGTCGAAATCATAGTGATATATGGATTAACATATACCTGAGGAAGCAATAAATTTATACATCAACATACATACTATATACAGTAGTTTGTAGCCTTAATTATATTTTACTGTATGGTTATTTTGTTATGGATGTTTTCCTCTGCTTTTTTAAAAAAAGAAAAATGAATTCTTTTTCTTTTTTCTTATTTATTTTAATTCACTATAATCTCAATTTAATTTTTTAAAATTATCCTTATATTTCAAAACATAATCCCTTTCTAAACTTTGGACATTTATTTGTTCAGTGAACAAAAAACTTCGGCAGCAAAAATAGACCATCAGTAGACAGGAAATGCTTGCTCTTGAAATGTTTGTCTAATAATATTTGGGGGAGGTTGTTTTCTGACTTAACGGAGTTAGGAATCTACTGACTGCTGGAGTAATAAAGGTAGTATTTCTTGCTGTCCCTCTTTCAACAAAACGCTAGGGGGCACCGTTTGTTACTTGAATCCAAATACAATACAGTACAGTATATCAAAAGCAGGAATTTGCTTAAGATTGCCTGCTGCAGAGGCGGGTGGAATTTCTCCATCACACACACCCCTTTCAACATCCTGTTGCTATGTTTACTATTATGTTTCTCCAGTTATTGTCTTCTCACTATTCATTTATTTTACTTTCCACATGCTATGAGACTGCTCTGGCGCTGCATACACTTAAGCAGTCAGTTGTTCCAAGAGATGGCTTACCTTCTGTGTAAATCCAATTAAATCTTTTTAAATTTATTTTTTTAATGGCAAATTTATTAGAAAAATTAAACAGGTGTACAGAGTGGAGCAAAACAACCACCTAACAGCTCACATTAACAACATGATAACCATCAATACATCCATCTTTGTTTACACATATAATTTGATAAATGCCCTCCAAATGTCCAAATAGGTATCCAGACAAAGTTGGTGTTTGTAAAAAAAAGTGTGTTCAGATGTAGCAAGGGTGTTTAGGTCTTGTGTAACAGATGCTGTGTGTTTATCCTTTCATGCTCAGAGTAGAAGTCTTTTGGCGACCACAAAAGTCTCACAAAACATCTCCATACTACAGGAATATAATTTAAGAGCACATGGACATACACAAATATAAATGATTTTGCTAATATAAAATTGATACAATGGCTTCTGACCAGAAAGAAAATACCACTGGACATGCCCATATCACATGCCTCGGTGAGGCAGTTCCAGCATTACACTTCCAGCATCTATGTCTATATTAGACTATGCCTTCCTATAAATATGTTGCAGAGTCCAATATACAGTACAATATACAGGGTGGTGCTGTGGTCTAAACGACTGAGCCTCCTGGGCTTGCCGATCAGAAGGTCCCCACAACAGGATCAGCTCCCATTTCTCTGTCCCAGCTCCTGCCAACCTAGCAGTTCGAAAGCACACCAGTGCAAGTAGATAAATAGGTACCATTGTGGCAGGAAGGTAAACAGCGTTTCCGTGTGCTCTGGTTTCCGTCACAGTGTCCCATTGCACCAAAAGTGGTTTAGTCATGCTGGCCACACAACCCGGAAAGCTGTTTGTGAACAAACACCAGCTCCCTCAGCCTAAAAGCGAGATGAGTGCCGCACCCCATAGTCACCTTTGACTGGACTTAACTGTCCAGGGGCCCTTTACCTTTTATAGTACCTAAAACAGGCTTCCTCAACCTCGGCCCTCCAGATGTTTTTGGCCTACAACTCCCATGATCCCTAGCTAGCAGGACCAGTGGTCAGGGATGATGGGAATTGTAGTCTCAAAACATCTGGAGGGCAGAGGTTGAGGAAACCTGACTTAAAACATATATTTTAGCTGAACACACAATTAAATCTTGCTGTGTGAATTCTACAGGAATAATCTGTTCTTCCCCTTTTACACATAATTTATATTAACATGCATTTTTAAAATTAGTATGTTCACTCCTTTTTCAGCAGAACAGTTGTCCACCCAAACACCTTATGCGTTCAGATTACGTAAACAGCCACTTAAAAGGTGCGTTCAGATTACATAATCCACCCACCCACTTGACTGTCTGCATTCAGATGTCACTTCCTGCTGACTTTCAAAGGTTCCTTTAACTTCAATAGAAGCTGCTGCCTAGAATCAGTCAGCATTTATTTTGTGGCACCTCTGGAGCACGTTCCATTTTAAAAAAGTCATTGCATATGTGAGTTGTCCTACTATACAATGACAGGCAGTGACAGAGCTGGCTTGCATATTGCAATCTTTTGCATTTTCAGCCAAATCCTCCATGCAGAGACATTACAGGGGGTGGTCAATTTGCATAATGGTGTTCAGTATTTAGTAATCAAAATCACACACCCATCCAGATACTTTTCAGTGTGGGGGGGGGGGCGGTGAGGATTCAGGAATTAGTTCACACATTCAGCTGACTACCAGTGTAGCAGATTGGTTGGACTGCAACCTGGGAGACCATGATACTCCTTGGGTGAGTTTGGGTCAGTCACTACCTCTCAGCCAAACCCACCTCAAAAGGTTGCCAGGATAAAAAGGGAGGTGCAGAGCTGTGCATGCCACCTTGAATTCTTGGAGGAAAGTGGGACATAAATGTAATAATCATCAAAAATCAATGAGAAGAAAAACACACACACACAAACTGACATATATTTTATTGTAATGTAGTACTGCCCTGGCTAGATTAGCTTAGTTCTTCCTACGCCTACTACAAGGGTTGTTATCTTCAAAAGTTTAAGGGAAAGTTAAAGTTGTAAGGATTATAACTGACTAGGTAAAAAGTTACATGGCATTCTGTAAAGTCTGAGGTGTAGGTGCTCCTCCTGACAACCCCCCTAGCCAGGCCCTTATCTAAGAGTACACAACTAAAATGAATTTTAGACCAATGCAGAAATAATGGCTTCTAGATACCAAACCTGTTTTTTCTTACATTGGTCAAATCCAGCCTGATGAAGAATTTGGTGGACTCAAAAAGAAACATCCATTCTTTTTTTCTTTGACATGTCGGTTAGATTTAAAATATGAACTGTCAAAAAAAATTAAATGAAAATTGGCAGTGCATGTTTATAGAACTTCTATCGTCCTCTGCTTAAGTTATTTGGTAGGCTTCTGACAAAAACTTTTGTATGCAAAGGATTGGCAATAGCACCCCGGGAGATACCATTGTCTTTGCTGTGAAATAATGGTGCTTCCCCGCCCCCCCCCTTCCCATCCCTGCTCCATCACACTATGACACTTGAGGCGGTTTGTGTTGTAATTGTGGCAACCTACCCTAGGAGTCGGGACGCGGGTGGCGCTGTGGTCTAAACCACTCAGCTTAGGGCTTGCTGATCAGAAGGTCAGCGGTTCAAATCCCCGCGATGGGGTGAGCTCCCGTTGTTTGGTCCCAGCTCCTGCCCACCTAGCAGTTCGAAAGCATGTCAAAGTGCAAGTAGATAAATAGGTACCACTCTGGCGGGAAGGTAAACGGCGTTTCCGTGCGCTGCTCTGGTTTGCCAGAAGTGGCTTAGTCATGCTGGCCACATGACCCGGAAGCTGTCTGCGGACAAACACCAGCTCCCTTGGCCTACAGAGCAAGATGAGCGCTGCAACCCCCAGAGTCGTTGGCGAATGGACCTAACGGTCAGGGGTACCTTTACCTTTACCCTAGGAGTAATGATGAAAGGCTGGTAAATGGTAACAGCAACCTTCATCACTACCAACAGCAGCTGGTATTTGGCAGCTTGATAGGTTCAGCCCTAGTCGCCTCTCCTCTCCACCCCCACCCCCACCCCGTGCCCAACCAGTGACTTAATGCCAAAAGAAAGGGTCACACAGCACATAACCCTTCTGGGCTTCTAGTAATGCTCAGGCTCTTTGTTTTCAAAGTCTGGGAATTTGACCAAATCCAGCTGATCTTGAGACATTCTCTATTCCTTTGAAGTGCTATTTACCTTAAATCAGTTCCTTGTTCTTTAGCTAGGCAAATATGCATTCTTCATCTGCATTATAGAAGCTGTTAAGGCAGATCTGTGAGTGTTCACACTAATCCCTTTACATGGGATTGCTTGGGATAATGACTCCTTGAGGCTCTCTCCACTGTTTAGGACCCAATTTTTAAACACTGACTTCTGAAACAATTAGAGCAGCTTTTTGCCAAGCCATATGTGTGTGTGTAATATGTTTAATATATTAATACTTTTATATAGTAGTATATTTTATATATATATATATATATATGCAGGTTTTGGTGTCCTCGGGTGTCTTCCCGTGTAAAAGTTGGGGTGTCTAGGCGACGTTTCGACGAGGTCTCACTCGTCATCTTCAGGCTGGTGCTTTCGGCTTCTTGTTACTGGAACAGAGCAGGATCTCAGTGTTTGAGTTCCTATAAATACTGTTGAGGGGGTGTGGTGTATAGCCTCCAATGTTCTGGGCAGAGAGGAAGTTCCCAGGCTA